CACACACACACACACCCATTTATCTTTTTCTTTTTGTGGTACTGGGGATTGAAACCAGGGCCTTTGCACTAAGTTACATCCCCAGTCCTCTTTTAATTTGTATTTTGAGACAGGGTCAAAGCTGCCAAATTGTCCACGCTGGGCTCCAAATTGTGATCCTCCTGCCTCAGCCTCCCAGAGTGCTGGGAGTACAGACATGTGCCACTACCCCTAGCTACACACACACCTTAACAGGAACATAAAAATAATGTCTTTAAATACAAAAAAAAAAAGAGAAAAGAATTTTAAATGTAAAAGCACAGAAAAATTAAATTCATGTAAACTCCTCAACTAACCTATCTCAAAGTCATCCACTGATGAAGAGCGCTCACACGCTTTCCAGATCCTTGGCTTCACGCTGGTCAGCTCCAGTGATATAGAGCACCACCCCTGCTGTCCAGAGAAGGGAGACCAAAACGTGTGCATGGGCTCTGTGGTTCCATCAGGGCACACTACTGTTGCATGACAATAACAGATTAAAAATAACAATACCTAATGGGTGTGGGGCAATTCACGGAGCAATCTGAGACCGAGAAGACGAAGCTTCACCCTTTCTCCTGCTGCAGGAGTGTACGGTACCTATCCACCCAAGTTGTGCCAAACTAATCTATAAGTCATTCAAAGCAGTGCTCATAGCTGAGATCTACTTCTAAGTTTTGCTAAAGGAGGTCACCATCCAACAAAGAGGTTTCAACCACTGCACTATACATATCACACTTCAAATGTTTGCTTTGCATCAGCTGGTAGGGAAGATGTGAAACTACAGATTGAAGAAAACAAATAGTGCACAATCCAGCATTTCTAGGAGGGGCACAAACCTGTAATTTCCATACAGCAAGTGGAGAGTCAGAAGAGAAGAACAATCATACCCCCATGGAATATTATTCAGCCATAAAAAGGAGGACATGCTGTCATTTGAGGCAACATGGATGGAACTGGAGGACATTATGTTCACAGAAATAAGTGGGACAGAGAAGGACAGTGTTTTTACATGTGGAAACTATAAAAGTTGTTTTCATAGAATTAGTGAAATAAGGTTATGGAGGGAGATGGGGTAAGATGGAGCAATTAGTCAATGGATAAAAAATTACAGTTAGATAGAAGAAATAAATTCTAGTGTTTGTAACACAGTAGCTTGACTACAGTTAACAATCTGCTGTTTAAAAATGGCTATAAGAAAGGATTTTGAATTTTCTCAATTTAAAAACATGATAAATGTTTGCAGAAACAGATATGCTAATTACCCCAATTTGAATCTTATACACTGCATGTGTATCAAAATAACACATTATAATATTTGTAATTATGTATCAAAAATTAACAATTGTTAAATATAAGAAATAAAATTGCAAAAAATTAGTAACAATAGGGGGATAGAAAATTCATGAAGATGCACTCAGACTTCTGGAACCATTCAATTTTCCAGTCCCACACCTATGTTAGCAAGCACTGGACTGTATCGCTGACCTGCAGCACCATGACGCTCTGTCAAAGGAAGAACAGGTGCCTGTCCTTGGATGTTATCACCCATGGGACTGGAAAGGACCCAAACCTTAAGAAAAAACAACTTGAAACACAATCCTGATAAAGTGGGAGCAAGGAATCTGACAATTGGTTGTCAAAAATTGGTTCCTTACAAGGAATATGATTAGCTGGATGTGGGAGATAACCTCAAGGTGTGAGGTGCAGGAACCAGGCGCTGGTGGGGGCAATGATGGAAGCGACAAGCAAAATGAAAGCAAACCCCATGGGAGCTTTAGAATTATTACAGGACCTGAGTTGGTAAGAACTCTTCCCTCAAGTAAGCACTTACTGTGTGGCTCACTATAACTTGCTTAAAAATATTTCCAATAAAACATAACTGGTTTTAGAAGAGTCACCCTGCCAGTTTCTTTCTCAAATCAGAGCAGATTCAAGAGCTAACTTTAGAATGCATCAAAATGAAAGTGGTACAATGTAAAAAACTAAAACAAAAGCTTATATGCAAATTTATTACTTAGGAGAATTAGTTCCATAAAACTACAGTTATTAAGAACAAGGTTAAAAAAAAAAAGCCCTTTAAGTCATAAATAATTTCAAGTTCTGTGTAAAACCCACTTCTTCCTTCCAGAAAGCAAATCTTATTTATATATTTTAGCATTAAGTTCACAGCAAAAATCTCCACTGCAAATCTGCAGTGCAGATAAAAGGCCAGAGAATGAACTGGAGAATCACTCTGTGTGAAAAGGAATCTTCAAACAAGATTTTGCCCTGATTTCCTCCACCCAGCCTTTCTTTTCCTTTTATGAGTCCCGCAGAAAAGTCATAGTGATAAATTTGTTACACTGGCAGTATTCCCATGGCAACTGGCTGTGATAGCAGAGTGACAGCTCTACAGCAAGATCAAGCGGTAAAAAAGGACAGAATGATGACTTCGAATTTTTCTTTTAAACCTCTTAGAAACCTAACCAGACACAGCACAAAAGGAGGGAAAAATTCCCTAGAAAAAGCACACATTTCAAGTATGGCTTTTACAACTCTGCTCCCCCGCAGAATGTTCTGTGGCTCTCTGTGGACCCTCACATCTCCTTCCCCAGGTATAACTTTGGCTCATTTGCAGGAAGATAGGTATTGCTCTGGGAAACAAAGAGGAAACCGTTCACAGTGTGGGCTGAAATTGCTTGCCCTGCCAGGGACTGGTGGGGTGTGTGTGGTCCCTGTACCAGCTGGAGATGAGTGGAGAACCCGCTAAAGGGATGTGATTCTCGTCAAAGTCCTACAGCCTTAAAACAAGAAAGACAAAAAGAGGAATACGATTCCTGCCTTTGTAGCTAGTTTGTCCTGTGAGTCAGTCTGAAATTAATGACAACAAACTAACTTGGTTTCAGGAAATTCAAAATATTTGCAAATTGGGCTGAGGATATAGCTCAGTGGCATAAGCGCCTGCCTAGCAAGTGCAAGGTCCTGAGTTGGAAAAAGTAAAAAAAAAAAAAAAAAAAAAATTTTGCCAATTGTCTTCTCCAGAATGGCTTAAAGGCCTTTTATGTCTACTGATCCTGAGATCTTCACTCTTTTACTCCACCCTCATGTCAACCTTCTGAAATAGGTTTCATTATTTCTACTTTTACAGAAAATAAACTAGAAATTCAGAGGGGCCATGTGGCTCACAGAGAGTAGCAAAGCAAAGACTTCACTCAAACCAATCACTCCATATTTAGGGACTTATTCTTTTAAAAAATTGGTTCCTTACAAGGAGTATGTATGAATTGTAGAAATTGCTACAAAAAATCACATAACAGTTAGATAATACAGAGAAAAAAGAAAAAAAATTACTGGTAATACCAACACCCCAAGGGACCATTTCTATAATTTGGTGTACAATCTTACCTCTCGCTACACATACAAAGATGTTAATGCATGCATTTTAAATGATAATGCTATCACATAATATATTCTATTTCCATGAAGTAAGTAAAGCTCTACGTCACAGATTTGCAAACAGGAAAGGTAACAAAGAATGAGAACCCAACCCTCTAAAGGTATGCCACTTCACAGGCTGAGTAAGATGCTTTTGCTGGTTTAGGAATAGATACGACAGGGAGTTAGGCCTGACCTACAGAGTATCAGGGGAAAGACACATCCTAACAGTGGTACAGAGTGTCTGTTTCCCCACCCCGTGGACTCCCCTACACTTCTTCATAACTGACTGTTCATCTTGTACCAGCTGCTGCTTGCTGAAGGTCACTCAGACAGTAAAAGACAGAATCTGGTTCTAAAGTCAAGTACAGGCTCAGAGCTGTGCTTCTCAACCATGAGACTATACTATATAAAGTAGTGTCTATTTTAAGGTGCACCCTTCTCGTTACTAATAAGGTAGAACTATTTTTCATATAACTATTCTTTTTAGCAGAATTTATTTTATTAGAATTACAAGAGAGCTTTATAAGTCAGTCTAATAACTTTTATCAGCCATGTTTGCTAAAAATATTTTTTCATGGTTTACTCTCCTTTAGCTGTTTATATTTTTGATTTTTATGAATTAAAATGTATTGCTTTTCCCCTTTTCTGGTCTCTACCTTTGAGGTCAAAAAGCTCTTCTCCCAAGATTATGAAACCACTGAATTACATGTTAAGATTTTTTTACATTGTAACATTTAATCCACACAGAATTTAATTTTGGAATAACGATTTAGAAAAAGATATAAAATTTAGTTTCCTGAATGCTTTGGCAATGGGCAGTGTAATTTGCTGGCTAATTCATTCTTTCCCTCCCCATTTATCTGAGACATCAACTTTATCGTCTTGTAAAATCTTACCTGTTTTTTGTTTTAGTTTTTGAATTATCCACTTATTATAAAGCTGTGAGTTCCCACATCACTATCAGTCTGTGATTTTCATCATAGCTTTATGATTTAACAAGCAGGGCTACCCACTAGATGCCATGGGTCTCAATCACACAGATTACAATAATAGCATTTGAAGAGACAAATACCAAGCTAAAAACTGTTTTTCAAATAACAATCAATCGCATGAAAAGGTACTAATTCTACCAAGTAGTAGACTTAAACACAAAAAAAGTCTAAAATATTATAGCCTGCTATTTAAAATCCTATTTACACAGAAAAGTCCACATCAGGAATTCACATAAGTAGCATGAATCATTCACAAGTGAATTCTTGACATGTGCAATTAGGTAACTCAACAGAATACTAGTCAGAAGATGTATGGCCTCTCACAATGGCCCTCTCTTTGAGTGCTGTGAGTATAGAGAATTTTGAGGAAGTGTTGTCTGTGAGACTCCATCATGGTCCCTGACCACAGAGGTATGCCAAAGGCACAGGACCCTCACTGCTCAAACTGTCCCACTGATCTTCACGCCTTTATTGCCAGATCATCTTTAGGTGAACATATAAGTAGAATAACAGTGACATCTAATGGCCATTTAGACACGTCACAGAGCATTTCTTTAAAATAGAACCATATGCATATTCCAGGTTAAAAGGTTAAAGCAGGCAACTTCCCAACTGTACACACGAGGCTACTGTTTTAAATTTTGTGCACTGGCTGGCCCTGAGTGACTTGGATGGCATCAGACACCATACTGCATGTTGTACAAACAACATCTCATTTCATTATTCTACATTAGTTCCACTACATCCACTTTGGCTCAAATGATGTGATGAGAGTAAGTAGAGGTGGTACTAATAACCCGTCAATCACTTAAAATGACCCTCAGCAGAATTCTGAGCAAACTTTCTGGAAAGAAGTATTTGCATTCTGCTCATCTGGACAGCAGATATGTACTGCCCTTGGTCAAACGATCAGAATGCACATCATTCTCATCCTCCCCTGAATAGTGAGGGGGCATGGAGGAGCACAAGGCAAGAGTTGCTTTGCAGGGAGCTGCTCAGATGCAATCAGCCCTCGCCACACAGGCCAGGAAAATGAGGGCCCTCCAGTCATACGCAGCCCCCTTCTCACCGATTCCTGCAGCTTTCAGAGTACTGTCTTCTTTCAGCAGGAGTCTGTCATCATCTTCCAAACTCAATACGAGTTCATTTGTCTAAAAAGAAAGAAGATCTATATTTTATCAGTACTGATATGGGTTTCACATTTGGTAAGAATTCTCAAAGACAGGGAGTTATTATCTGGAGATAAAGCAATAATCAAGGTCACATTCCACTCCCACTATGGTAATAAGAGGAGGGAGCAAATACCCAGTGCAGACCCCTAAGTGCACTGCAGGATATGGAATGGGCTTCTGAGTTACACCTGGGTTCAAATTCAGGCTGCCTCAGTACCCAGCTATGGGTCCACAACAAGCTGCAAGACCTCTCTAAGACTCAGCTTCCTCATCTCTAGAAAAGGGGGACAAATGCATCTTCCTCATCTCCTTCAGAGTGATAACGTGAGATGAAGCATATAAACCTCAGTGCATAGAGTGGGTGCCTCTGTGTTAGCTGACACCGTTCTGTTGTCACTGTCATCACCATCTTCTCATTTCGTCAGCTCAAGAGCCTAGGAAGAAAGGGAAACATGACGGCAGAGGCCCAGTGTACGTGGCTACTCAGCAATGGAAGTGAAGTCGGGCTCTGGCCAGTCAGACTTCTGAGAGAAGTAACTTTACCTCAAATGGCCTAAAGTCTACAGATACAGTGGTACCTTGGTTCACGAACTTAATTCTCCACAATTCTGGTTACAAACTAAATTGGACAAGAACCAACTCATTCAGTGGCTAGGCTCAATGTTGGTCTTATGGGAAATCTGATTCGGTTCCCATCCAATTCAGTTTGCAACCAGACTCGTGGAAAGAATTAAGTTCATGAACAAAGGTACCTTAGCCAAATTATAAAACCCTTACCCAAGTGAGCAAGGATTTGGTCCCATGTCATATTAACTGTAATATTTTTCTATGCAATGTGGAGTGGACAAAGATGAATTTGCTCTGTAACAACATTTACAAAGCTAGTTAGAAATCATAAACATAGGAGAAAATCGTGAGTTGGTATCAGCCTTGAACAGCACATAGAGGGGATTACCAGTTGAGCACACAGTTATCACTTGCCAACTAGAATGCAGCTGTTCAGCCATGTATTCTATTTCTAGAATATGGCCAAGATAGAGGCAACACAAAGGCCTCTCAGCTGCCAAAATAAAAGCCCTAGAGCCAGCATCTATGTTTTATGGTTCATGGACTTCATTCACTAGCGAGCACAGGGACTTCAACTCCACAGTACAAGCCTTTATTTTAAAAAATCATTTTTACTTACATGTACTAGTTTGATTCCCAGTATGGCCAAAAGAAAAAGTTACTTAGAATAGGTAATACAAAATTCTTTAAGCACATATGGGTAAGTGTGAAAAAATGAAATCTCCTCTCAATTCCTATCCACCAGACACCTGTATCTCCTCCAGAGAACTTAAACTAATTCCTGGGCACCCTTCTCGAATTTGCTCTGAATGTATAATGCATAAATAGCCTACTAAATGCTGTGTTCTAACACTTTGTTTTCTCTTAAAACCAGCTTAAAATCATTCTGCATCAAAAAGAGCCATTTCATAACTTAATCAAGTTTGCAGCATATTTCAGTGAAGGGACACACACACATACACACAGAGTTCATATCTATGGACATTTTTGCTTCTAACATCTTTCTCTATAAATAATCCTGCAAATGAATATCTTTATGCATATTTTAAATTGCATATGTTCAATTTTATCTCTAAGATGAATTCCTAGAATTGCTGGGTCACAGAATCACGTGTAACTTTAATTTTAGCAGATGCTGCCGAATAACTCTCCAGAGAAGCCACACCAACTTACACTAATGCTACCAAGCACTGAGAGTACCTGCATCCCCATCCATTTGCCAACAGTATCACCCAAACTTTCTGATCTTTGCCAGTCTGATATATGTAGGTTAAGTGGTCTTAATTTGTATTTGAGTAAAGCTGTTCGTAATTTGTTTGCTTTGCACTTTTGTTTTTTCTTTTCTGTAACACTAAGGACCAAACTCAGAGTCTTTGCATGCTAAACACAAACTCTATCCTGAGCTACAATTACTTTTATATACTGAGGAAACTCTTTTCTAGAAGTTAGAAAAATTTCCCCCACCTTTCATTTGTTCCTTGACTTTTCTTATAGTTTCTTTTCTTTTCTTTTGCGGTACTGTGGGTTGAATCCAGTACCTTTCCACTGAGATACACTCCCAGCGCTTTTTTTTAAACTTTTTTATTTTGTGACAGGGTCTCATTGAGCCAAACTTGGCAATACTCCTGCCCTAGCCTCCCAGAAGGCTAGGATTACAAGCATGTGCCACCACCACACTTTGCATAGCACTGCTTTAAAGAAAAAAAGGTCCCAAATTAATTTTGATTGAATAAGTTAATGAAGTAAAATGTATGATTCCATGTTTTTCCAGTTTTCTATCACAATTACGCTGTCTCTAGTCTGAGATTGTTTTTTAAATTCCACATTTTCTTCAAATGTTTTTAAGAATTCACTTTTAAATGTTTAATTGTGGAGAATGTCAAACTTTTACATACAAAAGAATAACGGAATGAGTCTTTTCACTCCATACCCATCACCCAACTTGAACAAATTATTAATTTAGACTCAATGTGTTTCTCCTCTTTCCTCATCTGTGGTTTTAAATTTTATGTTTGTGTCATTAACCCGGCAGGGATTTTTTGTGGCATAAAGGAAAAGATACAGATTCAACATGTCTAACCAGATGTTTCAGTACCATTTATTGAATCCTCCATCTTTTCCCCATAGCTTTGAAATGCCATATTTACTAAATACTAAATTTACATAAATATATTTGGGTCTATTTCTAGACTTTTAAGTTGGTCTGACTGAACTACCAGTTCATGTTTGAGTGCCACATCATTTTAATTACTATGGCTTTGCACCATGTCTTCACATTATATTAGACAAGGTCACTCTCATGTATTTTTTAGAATTCTCCTATTCTTATTTACATTTGATTATTTTTTATTAGTACATTCTTGTGGTCTACAATGTTTACATTCTTTGTGGAGAGTTGGTGTATGTACATAATACATCTTAATTCCTTTTAATTTATCAATTTAATAATCAGTTTCTTTATTTTATATATATAAAACTGTATATAAAATGTATATATAAATTATATATATAATATATATAAACTATATAAAAATGTGTATATATATATACACACACACACACACACACAAAACTATTTATAGTATTTTATTGGGGTGGCCTTAAATTTATAAGCTAACTAGGGGAGAAGTGATATCTTCAAGCTATTTCATGTTCCTATTAAAAATATTCTAGGGGCTGGGGATTTAGCTCAGCGGCAAAGCGCCTGCCTGGCAAGTGCAAGGTCGTGAGTTCGGTTCCTGGTACTGGAGAAAAACCAAAAAAAATAAAAAATAAAAAATAAAAATATTCTAAACACCAGGCATGGCGGTACACACTTGTAATTCCAGCACTCAGGAGACAGAGACAGAAGAATCACAAGTTTAAGCCCAGCCTGACAACATAGCAAGACTCCATGTTTTAAAAAAAAGGCAAAACATCATAAGCATTTCTGTATAAGTTTTATTTTGGCTTCCTCATATAGTGTTCTAATTTGTTAAAGTGAGGTAGACTTTAACATAACAGAATGCATAGATCTTAAGAGAAGCTCACTTCATGAATCTAGACAATAAGTGTTTATATTCATCTTTTCAAGAGTGTTTGTGGCAAGGGTTGAGAAGGACACCCTTCTGTTCTTAAAATTTCATTCTGGGTTCAGAGGCAGCTTAGTGGTAGAGAATTTGGTTAGCATGCACAAGGCTCTCTGTTTGATACCAGCACAAGATAAATTTTTTAAAAAAACTAAAATAAAAATAAAATTTTCTTATTAAAGACCTTCCATATTTCTTACAAAGTTTATTCCATGATATAATTTCTTCCTTTCATATAATTTTAACAAGCATAGCTATCTTGTTTCCAAACACACAAAATACAGGATAGAATAAAGTTTTTACTTAAAATCTTTTCAATAGAAATTATTCTGACTATAAGCCACCTACTGATTATAATCCATAATAAACACATACACATTTTCTTGATAACCTCAGCACAGTCATATTATGATAATTATTTACACTCTACTATGGATTCGTTGTCTCAACATTTAGCTCACAGTCCAAAGAGGAGGCTGTGGTGTGCAGGTATCCAGGCAGCCTTCTTATCATAGTGATGGGAAAACATTTCTGAGAACACCTGGTAATTGCAATTATGAAAGTCTCTGGACCCCAAAACTCAGGGAAATAAAAGAAATGCCTTTTTTAAGTGAGTTCATTAACATACAAGGGTTACTTGGAAGTCTCTCCGTTGGCTAATGAAAGAGTAAAGTTCTAGCTGGGCTAGAAAACTGACCCACCTGGCTGGAAAGCTATAATCCACACAGGATGAAACAGAAGATTAAGGGGCAGTACATTCCTGGAAACCTGCAGAATCATCCTCAAGGGTATAAAGTCTGTGTGTAACTAGAGTTCTTACTGTGGATTTATAAGTCCAGAGTCCAGGAAAATTCTAAGTAACTTAATTTGTTTTGTAAATCCCTCCATAAATAAATGCATTGTTCAACTTGAAAAATAAGCCCTAAGTTTACAACTACAATTGGCCTTCTGAACACAAGGGTTGGGCCTCTATAGATTCATCCAACTGCAGATTGAAAACATGGTCAGGCCTATGATGCTCATGTCTGCACTAAATATGTACACTTTTTCCCTTGACATTATTCCCTAAACAATACAGTATAACATCTATCCACATAGCATTTATATTTTATTAGGTGTTAGAAGTAATCTAGAGATAATTTAAAGCACACAGGAGGGCGTGTGTAGGTTATACATGAATACTATGCCACTTTATTTAAGGGATCTGACATCTGTGGATTTGGGTCCTAGAATCTATCCCAAGAGACACCTGTATATAACACACCACAGTAGAATATGTGTCTCAGATATCAGTAACATTCTAGGATTTCTCTCCTCTAAACTACAGCCGGAGAACTTCCTGATTTTTTACAAGTCATGGCACTGGTTATTCGAACATGATGAATGAGTTCTTCATTCCAGTAAAAGGAGAGATTACTAATTAGTCCGTTCAGGAAACACAAGCTATGAACAAGCAAAACAAGGTGAAAATGCAACACTGAAAGGAGACTGACATGATATACTTTGCTCTGCAACTTTTCCAAAAAGCATACTGTTTCATTCTAACTTTATTTAAATTTTATAATATATCCATAGATAGTTTTTCCCTGTAAAATGGAACTACACTTCCTCTTCTCTATATGTTAGGAACCAAGATGAAAATGCTCCTGGACTGGAGAACAGAAAACAGATGAGATCTATGGCCAGATACAGTGACAGAACATTCTAGTACCTATAAAATGGGTAAATGCCACACTTCAGCCCCAGACACATGTGAACACATTTTGAGGTATTTGACAATGGATGTAGAGACAAAGAAAAAGAAAAAAGAAAAACCCACAAAACTACCAATGCACTTTGCCATCTTCTTTGTGATCTGTGGTATAGATTCATCTGAAAGCTGACTGAATTCATGGAGCACATATAGGACTAAAGAAGAGAATGGAACAAAACGATTTCATAAATAAATACTTTGTTCAAAAATGTTATGGAATAACTATGACCCAGGCATTGCACTAAGTTTTAGAGATGCAAGAGGATGAACAATAAGATATAGTTCCTTTTCCTCCTTTAATTTCTAAAATAAAAAAAAAAGATATAGTTCCTTGCCTTTGAGCAGTTCATACAGTAGAGTAAAATGACTGCTTTAATGAGAAGTCTATAGAAGGTCACTGATTTGAGAAAAAAAGACCACTCTGTCAGTAATAAGAAGCAAGCTTTGGATTGTAACTTCACAAAGACATTACTCTAAAAAGGTAAGAAAAGAGAAATGTAAATACATGACACACACATAAACAATCACTCTTACCAGGGAAGGCAAGACAACTTTAGAATCCCAGAGTATGGCTTATGGAGAATAAGCCACCGTTCTCGGCCTTCTATAGCCAGTGTTGAGACAAGCAAATTAGGGATTGCTTTTGGCCCTTCTGGTGCAGAATTAAGACAGTCAAAAAGACCAGACTGCCAGATAATAAGTGGGTCCTTTTCTATGTAACCTGAATTTGATTACTGAGTTATATACTTATTTTTATATAAATATGTGCTAGATAAAGAACACATGGTACACGTTTTGTTTTAATTAACACTTTTTAAAAAAGGATCTACTACTAAAGGGCATATATGACTTAGCTTTTACTTTTCTTTAGCAGGGAAGGAAGGCTATAGAAAGGAGATCTACAAAATTAAAAATCCAATTATAGTGGAGAAGATTTGAGTCCTCTCACCAATTTAACTACTGATTATTGCTCTGTGTAAGATACTGTACTTGTGAAACATACCTTTGATTTATGTGCTTGATGAATAATCTTTAGTTTATCTGAAAGAAAAAAAAATCAAGTTGTTTCTTTATACATATTACTTTAAAGCTTCTTTTCAAAATATTATTCAGATGAAGGGCACCCATGACACTGGGAAATTTAAGTACTTACCTCATGACCATGCTCTCTTAACATCTGCTATATGGTAAATAAAAATTTACTTTTTCAAATCATTAAAGATAAAGGTACAGGGCACTAGAGATGTAGCTCAGTAGTAGAGCAATGTCCCTGGCTTATGTGAGGCCATGAGCTCAATCCCCAGAACCAAACACACACACACACACACACACACACACACACACACACACACAAATACAAAGTTACTTTAAAGCCTTGACCTTTTACACATGACAACTGTGTTTTTGTCATAACCTGAAGTCAACTCAGAACATTTTACCTCAGAGTAGAAGACAAGTGCTGGGTTTGGTGGCACGTGCCTATAATCCCAACATTCTGGAAGGCTGGAGCAGGAGAATCATGAGTTCAAGTCCAGCTTGGACAACTTAAGTGACTTAGTGAGACGCTGTCTCAAAATAAAAAATTTTAAAATGGCTATGGATGTAGCTCAGTACAAAGGCCCTAAATTCATCCCCAGTACCACAGACATAAAAAGGATAGAAAGCAAATGAGTCAAACTACTCCACTTTGTTTTCTAGAATCACTAAAAGCTAAGATTTGTAAATATTGTAAAAAATTATGTACATATGTATACATAACAAATGTAATCTTAAATTAAGATAGACATTAACAAAAGCAGTTTAAAAACATTTATGAAAGCGCTCAAGATTGATACAGTGACAAGAGGTCAAACAATCATACTGAGAAAGTGTTATCACTCTCAGGACACAATTATCTAGGATCAATAGTATTTGCAGCAAGGCTGCTAACGCCAGAGGATGTTAGTATCTGCTTCCTGGTTTTCAAAAACTGCAGAGGCTTACACCATCTGATCTGCATTGTTCAAACCCGGCTTCACTCCTTAGTGTGTTTATGCCCAAGTCAGTACTATGCTTTTGCAATAAGGAAATTCTCCACACTCGGGTAAAACTCTAACTCTGTAATAGTCAGCCCTTAATGAGACAGTAGATATAGTCATTCAGTAGGTTTAAATTCCAAAAGTTTCTAATTCTCCACTCAGTTCTAATTAACCACATGATGATTGTATTGTGATGAAATGTACATCTGAATATACTCTCAACTTAAACTAAAATTTATTTTTATCACACTGTACCAAGGAATTCCAACAGTGATCTGAAAAGAAAGGATCTAATTCAAAAACAGGCCTCTATTTAACTATACTGTCACACTACTGAACAATAGGGTACCTATCATCAGGCTAGAACTCCCACTCTGAATTACCCATATTTTAAATAGTCAACATTCAACTATTGCAATTTTTTTCTACTGCAATTTTTAACACAAGGCCAACATCCTAGGACTGTAACTCTATATTCTTAAGAGGTAAAATAAATTTAACCTAAGGAAAATATGCACATTAGGAATTTAAATGTGTCACAGCTTCTAAATATACACTTAATGGACATAAGAAAATAGGCAAATGCGACTTTTACTTTACCTATTATTTAATGTTACTTATACTTTTTCTTACTATAAATACACATTAGTTTATTACTTGAGCCAAGTTAGAGAACCCAACAGTAATTTTTTTAATAAAAGAAGCTTCAAGTCTATTAAAATCAACTTGTAAAACTGTAGTTTGACCTTATAAATATTAACAATATTCTATATGTTTTGATAATAAACCCTTAAATTAGAAATAACTTTGCTCATACAGGTTCAATAAACCCACAATAAGAAGGCTACATTTTTTTCAACAGAAAAGAAATGTTTGAATAGAAAATTTCCCTAGAGTTTTCTCCCTAACGGAAACTGGAAAGATCTAAGAAGAGAGTAAGAGAGGAAAAACGACAAATTAGCAAAGTGTTTCTATCAAATAATCTCCTTCATTTGTTTGACATCTTTTAAAAAAACATTCTAAAAACAGTATCGATAGGCATTCTTCCTTGCAATGCAAATTCCTTGAGAAAAAGCACAGTACAAACAATAGTATTTTACATTTACAGGACAGTCAACATGTTGGCACATGAAATTGTTTAATTTCATACAGCCCTATGAAACAGACAGGGATCAGCAGCAATACAAAGTACGTCAATCAACATAACATGAGCCTGCATGCACAACATTTATGCATGTAAAAATAAATAAGACTTTAAAAACAAATAACATCGAGTGGTTCATCAATAATAGCTTTAGATGCCAATTAACAGTGAGGAGGGGCTCTGAGAAATCTCAGACATAGGGTGGCGCAGGGAACCAGCCCGTTGCCCAGGGGCAGGGAGACAGTAACCAGCAAAACTGCAATCTGACTCTGCACCCTTTCCAATTCCCAACATCCACTGCAGTGTTCAGCCCCCAAAGGCCATGAGGTGATCTGAGGTGACAGTGACAGGTGTAAAAGTAACATTCCAACCTTCCCTGTTCAACACAAAGCAGTGGATTGTTAAAGAGCCAAACTGAAACAAAGGACTACTTGAAGTCTATCAAAACTCTAGTGGTTCCACAATTTCTCCCCTAACAAATGTATTCATCCTTTCTGCCAATTCATCTGAATATTCAGAAATTCTAGGGTGAAAGGATGTACCATTATCTATCACGATGATGCTTAGTGACTCAGGTATTCTGATGCTTTCATTATTTTAAAATTTACCTTCTGAAATAACTTACATGAAACACAAGTTTGCATACAGACATACAACATGCGAAAGAGAAACCATATGCAACTATTCTAATTTGAAATGGCATCTGTAGGTTGATTCAAGTTTAAGGTTATATTTCAAAGCATTACACTTCAAAAGCCATGAAAGCCACAAGTGAGAAGTTTCATATTTACCTTAATCATCCTTTTTATTCCTTTCTCTTATTCAATATTGAGTATGTAAATTCTTTAGGTCTGATAAATCAAAGCACTTTCCACTCAGTGCCTTCAACTTCTGCTTGACTACCCCTTCTGACCTCATAATTAGTCTCTGGATATTAAAATGCAGGCACATGGAGGAGATTGTGATTTCAAAGGATTGTAGGTCACAAGTTGCCCTACTGAATGGGAACAGACTGAAAAGCCACTCTGAAAAATTATCTAAGATAATAAAAAATGTATACTTTATAATGTCTGCTCCAATTAACAGAAATATTTATTAGATGCATTATAGCTTTCAAGTCAAGTCTCAAACTCAAGTTGGCTGAGTGGCATTATGATGAGGTTAGTTACTGTGTCATCTTTATATTGGATAACAACACCCAGCCTTTGGCTTTATTACTACATTTTAAATTTGTCAATTATGATAAATAAAACTCCATGTTAGGCTCAAGCTATTGGCATTTAAAATATTAAATCTCATCTTTTAATTCTCTGCCCTTAATTACTTTCCCTTCTCTGGTTACCTGTAAAGAAACAATTTTTTTTTAAATTTTGCCAAATGTGCAATTCCTCACAAACATGTCACTTTCTTACACAACTACAGTTGACTTTAATAATATACTAGGATTCTTATATTCCTAAATAAACTTCTAAATTGGTTTTTATTTAAATTAACTTTTTAAAACTAAATTTGAATTTATCAACAAAAAAAACAAATATAATGCAAAATTATACTAATATTCATTTTGAAAGAGCAGGAAAAATTGCTTACCATACTTATAATTTCTGAATGGTGGTGGCAGGCTGGTCCTCAGAGGGACATCTACAAGAGAAATATTATTTTTATTATAAAATATTCCAATAAAAAGCAAAGTCTTTTGGTTTTATTCTTCTATAACCATATACTAAGTTATATTTTAAAAACCAGATAAAACACAAAATGAAGCCAACATGGCATCAAAACTAAGAGTCATCAGAAACAATGAACCCACCAATAAGATAAGACGCTAGGCTTTTATTAACTGAACTAAGAACTCAGTAACACTATTCAAAGAACTAGAAGTTTATTAAATACACCAGTAATTACCTACACTTGAAATCTGTAAGTTGTATGTGAGAGATATTATTCATTTCCTTTATAGTTTTTATGTGTGTTAAATTTCACATAAATTTATGTGAAAATAAATAGAAACCAAACCTGTGGCCATTAATAGAAACCAAAGAGCTAGAATAATCATATTATTCTTATCAAAATTCAGATAACCTACAAAATAAATTCTCTAACTCAGCAAAGAAAACAATAATTTTTGTAAAACATATTCCAAGTACTAGTAGCAATTTTAATGAACAACAGCTGACTATACAACTTCTGCAGAGGACAATCTCATAAAATATATCAAAATAATATGTGCATGTGCTCCTTGACCTAGCCATTCCATTTCAGGAATTTAGCAGAGATAACAGCCAAAGAAATGTTGACAAAAAGAATAAAACTGAAGGCATCATACTTGCTGACTTCAAAATAAATCACAAGGGGCTGGGGATTTAGCTCAGCGGCACAGCGCTTGCCTGGCAAGCACAAGGTCATGAGTTCAATTCCCGGTACCAGAAAAAAAAACAAAAACAAAAACAAAAAACCAACAAAAAATAAATCACAAAACTACAGTAATCTAAACAGTATGGTAATGGCATTAAAAACAGAAGCCTATACCCAAGGAACAAAATAAAAAGCATAGAAATAAATTCACACACAACCAGCTGATTTTTAATACCCAGAACATATTTGGGGGAAACCTACTCCTCAATGAATGGTGCTAAGAACAAGTGGATAGCTATATGCAGAAGATAGTTAAATACAAAACAAAAACATTCTGAAATGACTTTCAGTCAAACATTCACACGTGGCCAGACAGATAACAATGTTACCAAAACCAAGCCCATCTGCTCCCAACAGCATAGGCCAATTGCGTAACCTGTATCAAAATTACACATGCATATACTCCTTGACCTAGCCATGCCACCACTGCTGTCCAATTAAGTAGAGACAAAGTATTAAGAAAGAAAGACAACTTTATTTGGAAAGGAAGTTATTTTGAATTGCAAGCCACAATCACCATGAGAGGTAGCTGCCTTCCACTGGTGATACCCAGACCTCTAGAGGTTTCTAGGACTCAAGCATTTCTTGTTAGTACAGATGGTAACTTAAGCAATATATCCACAGATCACATGCTTTCTATGACCTGAGTGCAAGGATGAGGGTTGCTTATAGGTTCTGTTTGTGTCCACTCTGTTTTGTGACTGAGCTGTTAAGTTTTGGCAAGCCTCTGTCTTCTCTGGCTGACACACTTTTCCAACACTGAGGTAATGCTGCTCCAACGGCAGCTAAGGAAAGTAGGTCAGCAAGGAGGAGTTGTGAGACCTGAGAATATGTACCTCACTGGGCACTGCCCTCCAGTGGTCCTCACTGATCATGGTGCTACAGCCATGTGGGCCCTGGGAGCCACACCTAAATATTTCAATGGAAATGATAGAAGTCTGGGGCTTAGGTGAAAATCCCCCATGTTTAAAACATCGTAGGTCCAAGGAAACCTCTCTGGAGGTGTCGGCTACACACCAACCTAAATCTCTGGCTTAGGCTTCCTGGAGCATATACACTCATTTTAGCCAGCCTCTTTCTCAATCACAAACCAAAGAGAAGAAGTATTTAAATATCCAAAAGGAGAATTAAATCCACTGAATGCACCGCCATTGAGGCTTCCAGATTAGACAATGAAAACCCCTGAGGCAGAGGGTGAGGCGAGGAACAGATGGTTCCAGGAGGCTACAACCATATCATGTAGAGACTTCAGAGAGAAGAGGCCATGCCTGAGACATGCGGGGGCACATTTTCTCTTTCCCCTTTCAGGTCAGCACCAGTGTCACGTCCACAAAGAGGAACTGCTGACCATGCTGCCTGCAGGAGGGGTCTCCTCTGATACTACTACCTACGTGACATTTGACAGGTATAGTTTTGCCTGTTTTCCTATTGTTGTCTCTCTATTCTCAACTGATAGGTTCTTCAAGTGAAGATACTGTGGGCTACCTGCTGAAAACCTAGGACAGTGTCCAGCACAGAACAGATTAACAAAGACTGGTCCCATGAAGGCGCAGGCCATAGCCTGTTTTCTTCATTATGCTGTCAGTGCCTAAAATAGTATCTGGTACATGGTATGCACCTAAAACTACTCAGGAATGAATAAATATAATTTAATCCCTTCAACTGGTAGTTGGGAGCAATGAGCCCCAAGGAAGCTGCCCTAGTTACTCTTCTCATTGCTGAGACAAAATACCTGACACCCAAAGTTAAATGAGTAAAGGTTTATTTAGCTCACAGTTTGTAGAGGTTTCAGTCCATAATCAGCTGGTTCCAAGGCAGGCTGGCATGGCAGAAAAGCATCACAGAGGAGACAGTTCATGGCAGGCAGAAGATGGCAAAGCAAACAAGGGACAACCATAGCTCTTTCTATCTCTTATATCTTATCCAGGCTACTCAGGGTGGGCAGCACTCACAGCCTTAATCTAGTGCCCTTGATCCTAGTACTGCACTATGAATCAATCCCAGCATCACACATGCTAGATCCAGCCACCTCTGAAAAAGCCCCACCTATCACTGCATGAGGCTTTCAGGGGACATCTAGACACAAACCATAACAGAGGTCATTGGTCAGCCAAAGGTGTCTAGGCCTGGAACAGAGACAGGTGAACCTGGAGCATCCTAGAGTGTGTGTGCACACATAAACACACACACACGTGCACGCGTGCGCACACACACACACACACACACACACACACACGCCAATGAGGCCAAGTGAGAGAGTAGTCATTGTTGAAAGCTAGAACAATTTGAACAAACTAATAAAAAGATAGATAAAATCTCCCAAGCAGAAGATCTCTACAAAAATAATACAAACATCTCATCCCTAAAGGGGAGTATAACTCCACATTGTTTAACTGTGGACTATGTACATGACCCACTTCTGAAGGGGAGAATATGAAGGAGGGACTTTACAGTGAAAAGACGTAACTCTGCTCTAGCCAAGCAATCAAGGTCAGTATCAACCACCATGAATCATGCAGGAAGTATGAACTGTTGCTACCACATGATGTGACTAAAGTGACACTTTATCTTCCTGATCTTTCTCTCAAAATTCCATAACCCCACCTAATTATGAGAAAAACATCAGACAAATTCCAGTAGAGGGGTATCCTATACTATACCTGACAACTACTTCTCAAAACTGTCAAGAAAAGAAAGGGAAGGGGAAGGGAGGGGAGGGAAAGGAAGGGAAAGGAAGGGAAAGGAAGGGAAAGAAAAGAAAGGAAAGAAAAAAGGAAAGACTCAGCAACTGTCACAGACAAGAGGAGTCTAATTATGTGTAACAACCAATGTAATGTGGGATCCTAGATGGGATACTGGAACAAAAAAAAGGACATTAGGTAAAAACTAGTAAAATCTGAATAAACTATGGAATAGACTTTAGTTGATGATAATTTATCAATATTGGCTCATTAATTATAATACAAGTAGCATACAAATATACAATATTAATAATGGAGGACAGTGAGAAACACTGGATATGAAGGAATATATAAAGACAAAAATAAAATTTTAGAATAGCTAGAATTCTCATTTTCCCCTGATAGAACAAACTGCTTTACAAAGTAAAACACCCAAGAATAAGAGGCAATGAAGAAGGAACTCTGAGCTGGAAGACTAGGAAAAGCCTCCACAGTGCTCTTTTTTCCCATACAAAATATAATTTTCACTCAGAAATAAGATTTGAAATTTTATGAATCTTTCCAAATAAAAGAATAATTAAAATGTCTAAAATTATCTAGATAATTAGCTTGTATACTATTCTGAATCTAGAAAAATAGTTATCTATACAAGGTAATATATGGTACCTGTAATCAAAATATCTGATTACCATCTATTCTTTATTTGTCAACAATAGGTTTATTATATTTATTATACTTATAAATATATCCTTGTACATATTTATAAACATACACATTTATATGCATGATATTCTAGTACAATGATTCTCAGTGAGGAGTATATCAAATTTAACCAAAGCTTCTGGACTATGAAAATACAGACAATTATGGGAGGTAACTAGATTAAGCCACAGATGGCAGAAAGTAACTGTTATAAGAACAAATCAGAAACGCCTTAATAAGGCCTTAAAATAACCCCAAAAGATTACTCATTACTCTAAAGAGTTTTGATTTAGACAAAATTCACTATGTCACAATGTCAAACCAGCCTTCTACCTTTCAGTATTTAACACATTAGAGCAGATGAATAATGTTATAGGCAGTCAGACAGGGCTCAGCCCACGAAGAAGCCAGTATGGAAGACAAGATACCCTATGACTCTGGGAGAGACAGGCACTTCCACTGTGGGCCAGACCTCAAGACAAAAGATTACACAAATGCACCCACAGACCTCCCTAGGGATGGACATCAGGGGGTGATATTCTAAATAGGTAGCAATCTTTTTGAAAAAGCCACAAAGAGTCACTAAACCAACCCCCTACATGAAAAGCCCTTGTTCTATATTCATGCCCACTTGCCACGTGACTCGCTTCCCCATTCGATCCCGATTTAATCAATTTTACTTGTAACCTTATTGGTTGGCCATAGTATTGTCCCACCTCATGCTCACCTTGCAATTTCCTATTTTTACCCCACCTTGGACCCGCCTCACCTCTTGGTTTTGCTCTATAAAAGCCCTAGGAAAGCCAGGGTCCTTGGCAACCCAGTCAGGTCCCCTTCTGTCCC